TAAATTTGCCATGAACGTCACCTCGGCAGTGGACAGCAACTGTGAGTACCCTCGAAGTAAGCTCAGGTGGACCTCTGGACTGTCCACGCAGTACACCTCGTAAGGCACGCAATTCGGTTCAATAACTGACAACAGCTTACACTTTCAAATTACAAGAACAAACGAATTAAAAACAGAAATTTCCGAACATCAGACTTTACCGTATAGATCAAGAAACAGGCAACACTACAAGCCAACGAGCTTTCTCCGCCTGTAAACTGGACATTGGACATTGGACATTGAACTGAACTAAATTCTCGCGGTCATTTTGAAAGACGTGCCACCGCCGTTTTTCTTACAGAAATGCCTCGTATTAATATCAAGGGAGGTGTTTGGCGCAACACTGAGGTACTTTTTTGGAATAATTCAAGCTGGTATTTTTTCAGGATGAGATTCTCAAAGCAGCTGTTATGAAATATGGGAAAAATCAATGGGCTCGAATTGCTTCTTTGCTGCACAGAAAAGCTGCAAAACAGTGTAAAGCCCGATGGTATGAATGGTTGGACCCAAGCGTGAAAAAAACTGAATGGAGTAGAGAGGAAGACGAAAAGTTGCTTCATTTGGCGAAATTGATGCCAACTCAATGGCGTACCATCGCACCCATCGTCGGACGTACCGCTAACCAATGCTTAGAACGATACGAATATCTGCTGTAAGTGTTGTTGATCTAGTCATATATATCATGTAGGGACAAAGCTCAAAACAGAGAAGGACTTTCGGCAGAAGAGGATCCAAAGCGTTTGAGACCAGGAGAAATTGACCCTAATCCCGAGACCAAACCAGCCCGTCCTGATCCCGTGGATATGGATGAGGATGAACTAGAGATGCTTTCTGAAGCACGTGCTAGGTTAGCAAACACTCAGGTAAGTTCGATTGAATGTGTCATGGTGTGCCATGTTTCCATATCTCGATTCGCTCATTCATATGAACCCTATCAATTTATACACCACGTAAATTATCGATACTTAACATATATCAACCATTTCGATCTCTTGCTGTCTCGATTTTCCCCCTTATCCACAGGGCAAAAAAGCCAAGCGTAAGGCTCGTGAACGTCAACTAGAGATTGCCCGTCGAATGGCCATGATGCAAAAGAGACGAGAGTTACGTGCAGCCGGTTTAGGGTCTTATCTCGGGCTTATGCCAAAAACGAAGCCATGTATGGACTATAATTTGGAAATTCCCTTTGAAAAGCAGCCACCTAAAGGATTTTACGATACAAGTCAGGAAAAACCGGATCCTAAATTAATGGATTTTCAGCGATTGAGGCTTTCGGATGTGGAAAAAGAAAGCTTTATGGAACGAGAAAAAGTGAGATATATTTTCAATCACCGTTTTTCTCATAATAAACTTTATGTTGTCTGTATGGTATTCTGAGTACTCGTTGGTGGTAGCGCTCAAGCGTTTGTGACCATCAACCTATCTCCTCGGAGTTGATGTTCAAACCCCACCACAACTGCTTGACAGTCCCCTGTTCTTTACAGCCTTTCTATCGGTCACTTCCTAAGAAATTTTTTACTGTTCTTTACTCAATAAAATGCGAGGTAACATAGAACCATTGATATCTAGTGTTTTTCGTTCATTTGATACTCTTTCAACTTTTATCGTACTATTTATTGCTTGTTCGTCCATGGTCACGGCCATTGATTGATTCTCATAGTCTAATTTGAAGCTATTTTCTGTTATTGGAATTAGTTGCCTTGAATAAACCCACGAACGATCTTAGGACTGTTGTGCAAAGTGACATCCGCAGTGCCACATTTTCCTGAAAACGTCTGCTTCCTAACCTTGCGCAGCTAAGTGTTACCTATGATTCAACAGATTGATAGTGAGCCCTATTCACCGATGGTCCTGATCCGCACAAACTACGAGGCTTTCTACGGACAATTATGGCGTTTTGTGGAAGGGATTACTTTTGTAATGGAGTTGATTATTTGATTGAGGAGAACTTGTAATGTGTCAGGTCACACGTTTAGTCGGCAGACAAGCCAGACAACGCCTTAGTGGTAGGCTTTAATCGACCAAAAACGAGGCATGAGAGTTAAAACGGGACAAGCAAAATGTTAGCATATGCGCCCAGAGTAACAGCAATCTATGCAACGGAAGGGACAAATCACTCAGAAAACGAAGATTACGATGAAATTTGTTTTGGATATCCCGAAGACTATGAATGAAAAGCGCTCACATTAAGTGGTGGGTGTGTTGCTAAACCTCACGGTTTCAAAGAAAATTAGGTCTCACTCTTGGTTGTTTAGGTAAAAGATGTTCAACGCTTGTTTCTGGTTCACAAAGAAGTTTCACCGGGTCGAACAGAACTGAGAATCTGGGGTGCATGATATGTCATCAGGTGTGGGGGGGGATTCTGTGCAAGTCTCTGAAAAACGAGTGGAGGGCGATGAAGTTGTTCGCTCTACGGGAGCAAGATAACGAAGAGATACTGTTTCTTCCCGTTCATTAGGGACACCTATGTGAGTACAACTTCCTCTATCATGGGGTCATACTTGGAAGAGTGGATGTTTCTTCGGTATAGTATAGGGCCAGGTGTTAATAACCACTGGGGCAAACTAGTGCCAACCGCAGATTTTCGATTGTAGAGAAACACCTTCGTGAGGCGTCGCGTTGATGGTCGTACAGGGTAATGATCTGATAGCATGGAGGGCATCAGGTAGCACCAACTCCCATTGATCAGCCGGTAGATCCTTAGACTGGAGGCACAGGGATACGGTTTTCTAGATGGTTCCATTCAGCCTTTCGACCTGACCATTACCTTGGGGGTTATAGCTCGTCGTCCTCCTAGTAGCTACTCCTCGGTCGTGAAGGAACGTCTTCAGTTCCTGAGACATGAAAGAGGCCTCTTGATCGGAGTTTAAATAGTGCGGCGGGCCAAATATAGAAAATAACTCAGTGAATCAAGAAATTATAGTGCGAGCGGTCATGTCGGGACAGGGGAAGGCAAACGGAAAACGGGAATACTCATCAATAAGTGTCAAAATGTGATTTCGAGTGGAAGAGTGAATTGGGCCTTTGAAACCAATGCTGAGACGTTCAAAAGGTTCCGTATCCTTAACGAGGGGACCATTGCGTAGTCTGTAAAACTTGGATTTAAGGCGTGCACAAACAGGACATTGTTGAGTTACCACCTTGACATTATCGAGAGAAAAGGGTAAACTTTTTGTGTGGACAAAATGGTACAGACGCGTGATACCGGGGTGGCACAGATTGTCGTGGAGTCTTTTCATTTCATCGATTGAGTGAGTGCTTGCGCAGAATGCTCGTGATAAAGCATCGGCTGCAAAATTCTCCGAACCTGGACGGTATAACACATCATTGTTCCCAATGATGTGTGTGTGTGTGTGTGTGTGTGTGAAAGTTCGGTATGCCAACGTTGTATTTTGTCGTTCTTGATTTTGCTGCTTACTTTCATGTCGTACATGAAGGCGACGAGCGTTGATCAGTAACCAATTTGAAGTGGGCACAGTAGATGATGCCGCCACTTTCGAATGGCTTCAATTATTGCGTAGGCTTCCTTTTCTACAGCAGAATGTTTTTTCTCTGAGGGTGTCAGGGTGTGTAAAACAGACCCACAGGGCGACCACTTTGATTGAGTGTAAGAGAAATTGCTATGTCGGAGGCATCGTTTCGACTACTATTGGTGCCTTTATCGACTGCAACCAGTGATGCTTGAATTAGCTCGGATTTCAATGAT